CCTTTCCCCCTCCCTCCCTTTCTAGTTACCACCATCTATCGTTTTTTTCATAGGCGCATCATCTTAAGCGGAAACATCATTGACACATATACGCCATACCAGACATAATCTGCCTAAAACCAGACCCAGCCCCTTCACAAATAAGAACACTCACCTACACCCATGACCTGTAGGGTCAGTTCCGGGACTGGCGCGGGACAAAGGCTAAGGGCCTGATAGGTAGGCGCCAAAGTGGGCGTCTGCAGCACCAACCCGCCCTTCGTGCAGATCCTTAGGTCGTCTGGAACACGGCCCGCCCACACCTCCACCGTTCGCCCTGAACTCTCCAGCTGAGATGTTTCATTATTTAAATTTTCAGTTTAGTGCGCAAACACAAACACATATAATACCGAAACCTTTACGCTTGATATCGTAAAAAGAAAACAGATTTTTTTTTCGGCTTAAATAAGGATATCAAAGAAAATAAATAGGTACTGATAATTCTGACACTTATGGATTGTATCTTACAATGCAAAACTTGAACGAATGAAATGAACGTCACCTCAGAACAGAATGTAGGATTCATGTGGGTAGGAAACTGTTATACTAAAAGGTATTGGTCGCACTCAAATACATAATTACCGAAAATGCTCAAATAGTTGCAATTAATAATTAATCACCTAATATTCCCACAGCCAGTGATTTAACAAATGGAGAAACTCGCCTGGAATGAGTAAATAACTCCTCCTTCTTCGTCGATTTCCTTTTTATAACCGACTTGCAGAAACGTGTTGCCGAACTACCGAAAAAAACGTGGACAAAAATGTCAAACATTTCTTTAATATAGTTAGGCCATTATCCTTTTTCATATTGAGCCAAAAGTAAAACAGTCATTCACCTGTCCAATCCTAATTCGGGAACTGTCGGGTAGATATGTGAAAACGAGAATCACCTGGTCACCCTCCGCCTCAAACAGGTCGAGGACAAGCTCTGTGTAGCCCTCGGCCTCGGAGTGCAGGAAGTTGATGGCTCGAGGCTGCCGAGAAACGATGACCAATAGTGGTTAAGGGGACTAGTGTGTACCACGTGCGAGTACTTGTGTGCGCGTGCGTGTGTGTGCGTGCGTGTGTGCATGTGTGTGTGTGTGTGTGTGTGTGTGTGTGTGTGTGTGTGTGTGTGTGTGTGTGTGTGTGTGTGTGTGTGTGTGTGTGTGTGTTTATACGTCAAACGTGATGACGATGATAATGCTAACTAGAAATCACAAACGGAGGGCCGTTAGTTTTACTCTCTCCACATATCTCTTTCTGAAATCTATTTATTCTGTTTCTAGAATTTTCCTTAACCATTTTCAACACTTAAACTACTCAAAACATCTACAGCGGCTCGATAGAAACTAGCGCGCTAACGTGAAGCGAAATTGATTTTCTTTTATGCTTTCTAATTCGTGGTCACGACTGCATTGATTCAGGAATTGTTTTTATAGGAGACTGTCAAAACGTATAATAAGATGTAGCAATTAGATCTGATTAATTAAAAAGACTCTAAGATCGAAAAAGTTGGAGCGCCGATTCCGAGTGCGCTGGTGGTCCTGCCTTTTACAACCGCCTACCCTGCCAATGGTCGTCTGGTCGAGCGTGCCCGAGAAGGTGAGCTCCGTGTCGAAGCGGCGGTAGTTGGCCTTAAGCAGGTATTCGATCTCGGACTTCGGTCGCCCTTTCTCGCGCCGCTGGTACTTGAGGCGCCCCGAACCTCCGTTGCCGTCGCTTGCCAACACCAGAGTCGTCTCGCTTGCCGTCGCGTCGCTCGTCCAGGACATTTCTAAACAGAGACAAGGGGAGTGTGACGGAGAGCATGCACGTACCCCCCCCCCCCCTTTCTCTCTCTCTCTCTCTCTCTCTCTCTCTCTGTTCTGTCAGGTTTTTATATAATGAAACAGTCATTTCCCATGTGAAGAAGAGAAATAAATATGTTTGCAGGTATTAGCAAGCACCAATCTTATCGTCACAATCATCAGAATGATACGATTTCTCGTATTCAGAAAATCATGATAAAATAATTGTTGGCAACAATGAATTGAATGTTTCACCACAGTGACTAACTATATTCCGATGATCCTGGGTCATGCAGGACTTCCAGAGAGGCCTCGAAAGTGCTAAACACAACTTGTTGTGTTGGGTCATCGTAGGAGTACCCACTGAGGTCGTAGGGCTCGTGCGGGTAGTCGAATCCCACGCTGGTGGGGGAGGACTGAAAGAGACGAATGCTGTTGAAGAGTCTTGGGAGGAAACATTGGGATTATTCTCTTGTCGATACATATAAGTATGGTTAAGATTAAACTCTGTGCATTTACTGTATTGATAATAGTCTAATGAAGCTGGATACTGATGTGTTTAGTTCAACGAGGTAATGGTGATGATTTCAGTCGCTCATTCTCCTGAAATGATCAGTTTTGGCAATGCAGGTGCAACGCCATTCTTCAGAAAGCTGATACTGAGCAGACACTTGAACTTCCCCGGAGTCTCAGACAAGGTTGCCATGCTGTGGAATCCACCACACTACCTCATATATATTTCATGACAGTAATATTGAAAACCATTGTTACCTAACAAATATTATCGAAAAAAACACAATATAAATATACACACGTAGTAAGTAAAGCCTACAGGACCTAATCCTTTCCATCGCGTTTAACCCTGTTGGAGGCGAATCGAAAGGATTTCGCGCTAATTCATAGTTGTTTCTCTTCTCCTTACCCTCGAGCCGAAGAGGAAAAGTGAAAGCGTAAAGAACAATACTGACATTTTTTCACCTTATTCTTAATTAGTTGGTCCTTAAAAACATCTTGATGGATCCTTTTTAAATCATTGCCTTGAACAATCTGCAGTCCCTTTCCTTCTCACAGAGTAGGACCGAAAATGTTTAAAAAAAGAACACTTGTACTTCACTGAACAAAATGTTTTAAATATGGTGTCGTAAGCAGTGACGGATCAACTGATAGAGATTTGGCAGTGTAAATAATCTTGGCGTCGGAGGAATGTTACTGAAATATCATTATGTGACCTCTGCTGGTCAGTCTTGGAAGCGAGGACGCTGAATAGCCGCTGGGACACTTGGAGAAGCTGGCATTATTGGGACGCAAATGAAAATAAAATGTTAAAACTGGTAATGATAATAATAAAGACAATAATGATAATGATGATGATGATGATGATGATGATGATGATGATGATGATGATGATGATGATGATGATGATGATGATGATGATAATGATGATGATAATAATGATGATGATGATGATGATAATAATGATAATGATGATAATAATGATAACGATAGTAATAATAATAATAATAACAATAATGATAATAATATTAATGTCAACAATAATGATAACAGTAATAATAATGATATCACAAAGGCAAAGAGCAAGTAAAGCAAAGAAAGAAACACACAAACTTAGACATAAGAGTATTGGTGCGCCCCCTGAAAGCTGAATTTGATGAAGCAAGGCTGAGAGACACGAGAAAATTGTTAGTGAAAATTAGCAACTAGACAGCTACAGCGCAGGCTACAAAGAACTACAAGATTCCTAAATATATATATATATATATATATATATATATATATATATATATATATATATATATATATAGATATAGATAGATAGATAGATAGATATAGATATAGATAGATACACACACACACACACACACACACACACACACACACACACACACACACACACACACACATATATATATATATATATATATATATATATATATATATATATAGATATATAGATATAGATATAGATATATATATATACATATATATATAGATATATATATATACATACATACACACACACACACACACACACACACACACACACACATATATATATATATATATATATATATATATATATATATATATATATATATATATATGAAAGATGGAATAATGCAATGCCGCATCTACTCATGTATGAGTAGATAGGTAATGTCTATGGAGCTAGTTAGATCCTAGTTGCATACCCGGAGTGACCTAGGTTCGAGGCCAGGTCAGGGAGGATTGTTATATATATATATATATATATATATATATATATATATATATATATATATATATATATATATATATATATATATAATACACACACACATGGTGGAAAATTACACACATGCACACATATATATATACACATGTGTGTGTAATTTTCCTTGAGAGTACTAAATTTTTTACATATTTAGGTTTGGAAATTATTCCATATTCATATTATATAGCAAACGGTCTACAAACCTACTATGCGTTTTAGGGGCCTTGGCCAATCGCTTTCCGCAAATCTCTTCCTAACAAAGTCAGATCGGTATGACAATGTAGTATGGTCTTCTTCATACCGTGACCTATTTTCTTTTTTTACCAAAGTGTATTGATTTGCTCTTGACTCCCTCCCATCCCGCCACTCACTAAAGTAAATTAATTAAGTACATTTGTTATGCAACTGAATGCCAAAACTTAGGCTAGGGTGTAAAACAGACTGCAAAAATGCCATACCGATCTGACTACGTGTGAAAGAGATATGCGAAAAACGATGGGGAAAGACCCTTGAAATGCATAGTAGATATGCATGTGTGAACAGCAAGAAGAGCTGCAGCTTTACCTTGCTCGTCAGTGCTGCATTAACTATCGGTTGTTGGGGATGTTCAAATAAAAAGGACTGTATTTTTTCCTCAATTAAGCCCCCCCCCAAAAAAAAAAAAAAAAAAAAAAACAACAACCAGCGTTCATTAGCTTCTAGGTTAATTTTTTTGTAACTGTTATAAGTATTGTCATCAAGAATATGGGTAATAATAAATGAGAAATAATAAAAACAGTAATAACTACACTGGAATGAAACGAACAATACTGAACCAACCTCAGTGAACATTTTTTGCATGTAAAATGTGTACTTCTGCCTGTTACTGTTCCATTTGAACGCCTCCACCTCCAGCTTCAACGGCTGCCCTCTGCCTTT